TCTACTTTCTTTAGAGTTAGTCAGCTCTGACTCTTCCAGACGGATCTTGGCTGTGAGCTTACAACTGGGCTGTGGGAAGGGACAGGAGAAGGAGAGGTGTCTCCAAGGCCAGCACCTTGGGATCAGCAGCGTTTAGTGAGAGAACCCCAAGGGGAAGGTGAATCCCAGGGAAGCAGATGGGATGAGGTCCACAAGGTCGTGTGCTCTCTGCTCCTGGTGATTCCATCCCCTGCCGACCTTAGGGAACGGAGACTTGATTATCTCACTGCACTGAGAAGAGGACATCTGCACTACTGACTAAGAGGGATCCACAGGGCAGGGCCGGATGGGCTCCCCCGACAGCACTGCAAAGGGGAGGGAGCCAGAGAGTTTGTGCTCAGGACTGAGAGCAGTGCAGTTTGCAGGAGGAGAGGGAGTGAGGGGACACGCGGGAGAAGACAGACAAGGGGACAGGCACAGAGTGGCAGGGCCTGCCAGGCCACGCTGAAGACTTGATGCTTTTTCCTTTGGAAGAGTGAAACTTGTGTAAGGATTGAAAGTGAAGAGGCATCATGTGCAAAACAAATTAAACCGTACTGGGGGTGTAGTGGGCATACCACAAAGTGTACCTGCTTCAAGTGCGGAATTCAGCAGTTTCGGTACATTTACCGAGTGTGCAACCATCTCAAGTCCGTCTGGGAACATTTCCATCACCCTCAAAAGATGCCCAACTGAAAACAAACACCATCAATTCCCTGACAACCACTAGTCTACCTTCTGTTTCTAAAGATTTGCCTTCGAATTTTTTCATTTTGAAAGGATCCCTTTTGGGCTTCGGATTGGAGTCCTTGGGTGGTGGAAACACTAAGCACTCAACTGTTGGCCAAGAGGTTGGCAGTTCAAGCCTACCCGGGAGCATCTCAGATGAAAGGCCTGGAGAACCCAGTTCTACGGTGCAACACATGTGGTTGCCGTGAGTCTGAATCAATTCCACGCAATTGGTTTTGGGTTTTTGGCTTTTTCCAGTGGAGTTAGTTGGGTTTTCCCTCTGTCACCGCTGGAGGCACCACCTGCCCTCTTCCCATGAAGCTAGAAGGGCCTGCCCGAGCCCATTGCTGGCATAATGCCTGAGCTCACGTGGTTCAATGGCTTCCCCTGAAGAATCAGGCTGAAGATCCTCTTACCTTTCCATAGGTTAATACCAAAGCAGAAATGACTTAGCAATTCTGATCCTCCATCAGATTAAGGAGGGAGGGTGTAGCTGTGGTTTCCTTATCTTTACATAACAGCTTCCTGTATTAGCCTGGAATCAAGATGGCGCCAGGCAAACCCAGAGGTAACTCTGCTGGTCCCACTGCAATCAGAGGAGGCAGGAGATGAGGGGGATGGGTAGCCTTCCTGTGTGTGGGACACTCTTTCTTGCCTGTTGTTGTTGTTATTTGCCATTGAGTTGGACCCAACTCAAAACGACCCCTCCTTGGGTTTCTGAGGCAGTATCTCTATGGAAGTAGATTGCCCAACCTTCCTTCTGAGGAGTGGCTGGTGGGTTTGAACTGCCAGCCTTCTGGTTAGCAGTCAAGTACCTTAGGCACTATGCTACCAGAGCTGCCTGTTAGTCCTGGTGAAATCTAGACTCCAACAAAATAGAAGACCCTACTCCATGAGACCACCAGGCCAAACTTGTAGGGTTGTGATGTTAATCTCCCTGCCATAGGAAGATCTGGGAAAGGCCGGACTCAGCAGGGTCCCATCCTAAAGGAGTCAGTCAGTCTGCATCCTTGTGTTATTGTGTCTCAGGCCCCATTGACCATCCGATTCAGTGCTGTCTCCCCTCAGGATTGCTACATGCCCCACCTGAGAAATAAGGTCCCCAAAAGGAAGTATGGGAGAAAAAGAATTAGTCATCTCTGGAAGGTATGCCCCTCTAGCTCACCAGAAGATACCCTAGCAGGTGGCTCATTCTCCCTGTGGAGAAACAAAGAGAAAGGGAGAAGATGGGTCACTGAGGTCATGTGAGCTGGTCATGGCTCTGGGTCCCCAGAGCAACGTAGAGTCACCAAGCACAGAGGCAAAGATCCCATACATTTAACAGAGGTGCTGGTACATTGGGATGCAGTGACAGGGTTAGACTGGCATTGACTGACGTGTGGACAAACAGTGCACTTTTTTTTAATTCACCCTAAGGGGTGAATTAATCATTATATGTTTGTTTTACACATCTGCCTGGCATCTCTCTCTATTTATTTAGATCTTTATCTCAGTAATGTTTTATAGTTCT